TCATACATTGCGTAAATGGCTTAAGCATAGTTTTTCATTGGTTGATTTTTAAATTACCGCAAAAGTTTTTCGTACCTTTAGTAATAATAATTTTTGTCTTGCAACTTTTTTTATTTATAATCCTTAAATTACATATTAATTATTGTTTAAAAAAACAATAACTAATAATATACAAATTTTGACTGTTATTATTATTGCAGTAGTAAATTTTTTGTTTTTCTTTTTCATTAATAATTGCAATATGATAAACTCATTAAAACAGTTTTTACGGATTCATTAAAACAGTGTTTACGGTTTTTTAAAAAAATAAGAATTTAATGACCACAGATATTTCCGGCGATCACTTAATTTGAGCCCTGAAATGTGCCAGCGTGAATAGCGTGCAGAGCTTCTAAACAAAAAAGCTGTGGTTCAAGCCCTACCACTGGTGACTTTTATTTTTTTAATTTCTTTCGATAATTTTAAAATACAAAATACTTTTGAAGTTTTAAAGAGATAGGTTATATACAAACATGTAACGATATTATACACTTTTACTAACAAAAAGGTTTTTATAAAAGCTAAAAACATCGAAACACCAGGAGAAAAAATTTGTTGCGTATGTGTCATGATCGAGATACTTATGTTATTAATGAGCTCAGGTAACTAGTCCTCGTAAGCTGCAAATGGTCTGAAAAAAAATGTCTGAAACTTAATAAGGAAAAAATTTAATAATAATTATATGGATGATACAACGAAAATTATGAAATGAATTAGACTTAAAATTTGAAAGCTTTTATAAAAAGTCATTAAACCAAAAAGATTAAAAGTAACTGCAGTTCAGTGAAAATTAAAATTCATTAGTTAAATTTAGTTCAGTAAAACTTAAAAATTCTAAGAACAGTATATTGGTGTTTGCAAAGAAACATATAAATCATTTTTTAATATAAACTAACTTTTTTTTCAATTTTATTGTATAGACAGGTTTTTGTGTATTATCAGCTAATATATATATATATATATATATATATATATATATATATATATATATATATATATATATATATATATATATATATATATATATATATATATATATATATATATATATATATATATATATATATATATATATATACACATATATAGTGTTATACAGAGATTTCAGAAAAACTAATGGCACATTAAAATTGATAATATATAGTATATTTTAGTATCTATCTAGATACTGATAAAAATGGTAACTTACTCGTAATCTTAAATCATTTATACTCCATATCCAACAAGCATTATCATTTGACGAAGCCAAGATCAATTTTTCCTGAATTCAAAAGCAAAAAAATAAAGAAAACTCATTAAATGAAATGCATTAATTATTTTTCAAAAGTCATTTGAGTTGCACTGCATGCAGTTAAATACATTTTAAAATTGTTTGTATTGCATTGCATGTAGTTACATACACTATGAAATTCATTTGCATTGCATTGCATACATATTTAAATTTACTCCAGAGGATTGTCAAACTTAAAAATAAAACAATGATAATATACAGCCTTCAAAATTTAATAGTTGACAAGCCAAACAGATTACCATATTTACTAAAACTGCTTTTGTTTAGCTTTCCTAAGCATAAAATCAAGTTTTTCAAAAAAAAAAAATTTTCTTATGAAAAACACAGTTGAAATTTTTTTTTTCAGCATTTGTTTAAAAACAAAAAACATATTTTTATAAATACAAATATATTTTATAAAACTATTTCTAATAATCCATAATTTTAAAATTATTTTTAATAATACTAATATATTCGTAATCGGGTCTATAAAATTTTTTAATTTATTATAATATATTTTAATTTATTACAATATATTTTAATTGTGATATTTAGTTTTTTTATAAATCATAATTATTTAACAAATTAGTTAGCTATAATTATAATTATCTATCATTATTATTTGTTAATACCATAACTATTATTTGCTATTATATATAATATATACAGTGCAATTAACAAGTATGTACAAATTATAAAGTAAACTCTGACAATTACATGAAAAATATAAAGCAACCCCCTGTAATAAAAGACATTTTTATTCATTATCAATATATCTCTAATTTTAGAAACTAGCAGCTTATAAAGTCAATTTTATTTCTAATATATTTTTTATTTAAATACTGAAGTAGACTAGCTTAATCCAATTTCATTTTATCTTAGTTTTTGAGCCTCACCTTCACTTATTTTTTTTTAATATACAGACAGATAAAACAAAAGATAAAATAAAAGATAAAAAATATGGAAAAAAGAAAAAGAAAATAGAAGTAAAGCACTGCACTGCAAAGGAGCAAACAATTAGTCTAAACTTACTTAGGATTAGGATTAATGTAAAGGATTAAAATGTTAACAAATTTTTTTATAATCTTATTTAGTTATAAAGTAAATAAAATTATCTCACCAAAAGATCAAATCTTGTACAAGTTACAGATTGTCGACAACCAGTTAAAATTGCTAACTCCTTAAATGCACCTTTAAAAAGAACTTTCAAATCACATTCTTAATATATATATTTTTTTTATATTAATAAATTTCATACTTTGCGGACCTCAATTTATAGAGGTTGGCAAAAAAAAATTAATACTATAATAAAAATAATAAAAAAAATTAAAAAGGTTTTACCATAAAACAATGAAACAAGGTCGGTAATTTTTTTTTGCAGTTAATTTGGCATTGCAGAATGCCAACCCTAATTCCAAGGGTTATATATATGTATATATATGTATATATATATATATATATATATATATATATATATATATATATATATATATATATATATATATATATATATATATATATATATATATATATATATATATATATATATACATACATATATATAATATATATATATATATATATATATATATATATATATATATATATATATATATATATATATATATATATATATATAATAATAATAATAATAGAGTTTGATTATTTGAAAAAATACAACTTTGTGATGGAACTTGAAGTTTCATGCCCTTCGGCAATCATCAGCCATATTTTATTTTTTTAAATCAAGAAAAACCGTTAAAAAATACAAAATACAAAAATTAACAGAAAAAACAATAACAAAGCAATAGAATGAGTTCTGACGTCAAAACAAATTTTTAATTAGAAAATTGTTTAAACGACCGTGTCGAAATGGGCGAGAAGAAACTTGTTTCGATGCCTGCACTTGGATATCATTTCACTTTTTTTGTTAAGTAGATTTTTATTTTTGGAAAACAGAATTTGATATTTTTCATTTATACACAGTTTGCAAGACTTAGTGGTTGGGTTGTAAGAATTATTTTCCATTTAATAACTGGATTTAAATTTGCATCTTTCAGTTTCCAAAATGCTTTTAATAGTTCAGTGTCATTTTTGTATTTTAGAATGTTAAATGATTTTATATGGTTGGCATATCTAATTTTGAATGGTGTTTCGCTTATACCGATGTATAGTTTGTTGACAGGAGTGGTAGTAGGGTTAGTTGAACTTATTTTAGCTTGGTATACAATGTTTTTTGTTAAGCATTGGTTTGATAGAGGGCAGGTGCTTTTATTAAGGCAGTTGCCATTGGTTTCAATTGCAACTGCCTTTATATAATTCTAATCATTCATTCTCATTGCAACTGCCTTAATAAAATTCTATTCATTCATACTCATTCTATTGCTTTGTTATTGTTTTTTCTGCTAATTTTTGTATTTTGTATTTTTTAACGGTTTTTCTTGATTTAAAAGAATAAAATATGGCTGATAATTGCCGAAGGGCATGAAACTTCAAGTCTCATCACAAAGTTGTATTTTTTCAAATAATCAAACTCTATTATTATTATTATTGTTCTATTTTGTAAACACTTACATTATATTGATCACTCTCAAACGAACAAGAGACTTTTGTATCTTAATTTAGTACAATAAAACAACAATACATATATATATATATATATATATATATATATATATATATATATATATATATATATATATATATATATATATATATATATATATATATATATATATATATATATATATATTAATATATATATTTTTTCTTTCTTTCTACTAAATCGCTACTTTGTTTGATATAGTAGAAAGAAAACAAGAACAAAAGACAATCGTTTGCAGTTTTAATGAATGAATTATTAAATTTATTCATTGAAACTTTGATCTATTTTAATTGTGTACATTGCTTTTAAATACAGTTTTAAAAGATTGAAACGATTAGTTACATATATTGTATTTTTTTATTTTCATTCTCATTTTTAAATTACAAATGTAAAAAGTAAAAAAAAATTCTAAATAGTATTTAATTTTTAACAAAACACTTTTGATGATTTCCACAATCATCTTGTTACTTTTCAAATTGCTAAAACGACTTTTTAATTAACGACTGTTGATAAAAACACTATATATTATAAGTAGAATTGCCAGAATTTCGACTTTTACAAAGGAAAACACAGTAAAAACAAATATTTATACAGGTTTGTATTCTATTTTGTATAGACTAAACGATTGGCAACCCCAATGTTCAAATCAGCGCTGCCTCAAGCGCTGCGAGGTGTGCGCTTTTTTAAACCTTGAATATAGTTAAGGTTTAAAAAACCTTGCAAAAAACCAATACCTCACCGCCTTGAGGTGGCGCTAAAAGCTAAAAATAACTTGCATAACTTAACTTTAAATATACATGTAAATTTTTACGCAAATATAACAGATAATACATTTCATTGCAAGTATTTTTTGTTAATTTTTTTGTTATTGTTATTTTTAGTTTACTTTACCAGCTAATTTACTTTACTGAAAGTATTAATAAATCTTTTATATTAAATTTTATAATAAAATTTATAAACTTATTTTAAAGTATAATATTTATTAATACGCAAATTGTTGTGTGTTGAACATATGCAAAAAGTAAAATCGTTATAAGAGATCAATTTCTTGAACTTTTTAAATTTTTATAATAACCTCTGAAAATTCTTTTGAAAAATAAACTTAAAAATCTATTTTAACTAAAAATATCTAAAATATATTAGTTTTGTAACTTTCCTTACTTTAGATAAACAGACAAAATGTAAATAAAGAGTTTTTGAATAAAAAAAATTAATTGTTAAAATAATTTATTAAACATTTTTATTAAACATTGAAAAACCTTAACTAGAGAATAACTGACGTCAATAAAAATTAAAAATAAAAGTTTTTTTAACTTTTGAATGAATGATCTTGTTATTGTTAATGACAAGTGTTAATGACGACACGTTTTTACACATTAAAAAAATTGATTAACAATTCTTTTCCTCGTTTGCATACTATTGCATTTTTTACTAGTCTAGCGCAACACTTTAAATCTAAGACTGATTTTTTTTTTTAACTATATTATGAACCTTTAGAAATTTTAAACCAAATAAAAATACTGCGTTATACGAGGTGCCATCAGGCTGGCATGTATGTATGTATGTATGTATGTATGTATGTATGTATGTATGTATGTATGTATGTATGTATGTATGTATGTATGTATGTATGTATGTATATTAGGGTTAGCCATATATACATTTTTTAAAGTTTAGGTTTGCTATACCACAGAAAATTTGCTTCTAGGGTCTATATTGGAATCATTTTTTTTTTTTTTTTGCATTTTTCTATTTAAGAAAAATGCAAAAAAAAAATAATTCCAATTTTTTATGTCTAGAGATAGCACATCACACTTTAATAAATGTACATTTTTAACTGTTTTTACGATAAGAGAATAAAATAAATGAAGCTATAAAAAAATTGCTAGGGACTAATTAAAGATAAAAAATAAATGAAATAAAAAATCATTTATAAGTAAAAAAAGATCTGCTTGATAAAAATAGCAGAAAGATGCATATAATAAAACTACTATTTTTTTATGTCTGGAAGTTAAGGCAACATCAAACCATGACACACAAATTTTAAATGGAATATTTAAGGGTTTCGTACATAGAGCATTGAATGTATGCAGTCAGAAACATATAGAAAATGAACTGAAATTCCTTAATCAAGTATTTGTCGAAAATGGCTACAAACAGTCCAATCTCATAAAAATCATAAAAGAAATAAAACAAAAGTACAAAAAATCTTTAGTGACTACTAAAAACATTGACAACATCACCAGCACGTATCCAACCATTTCGTTACCTTGGGTACCAAAATTGTCTCCAAAATTGTGTAAAGTGTTTAGGGAGGCAGGATATAAAACGGTCTTTAAATCAAACTTGAACCTGGAGACATTATTAACATTAGGAAATAAATCCAAACTAAAAATGAACAGCCACCCAGGAGTCTACCTTATTAAATGTCATTGTAGCAAAAAGTGAATAGGTGAAACAAAAATGCAAATAAAAACATGCATGCAACAACACAAAAATAGTACAACAGGAAATAAAACAGAACGATCTGCAATAGCCACATACATGAGACATTGTACACAACAAATTAACTGGGACAGTTGCAGAACTCTAAAAGTCAATGCTAAAAAGTTCGATAAAAAAATTTGTGAGGCACTTGAAATATAGTACTACAAATGTGCCCCTCAACAGAATGGTATCAATTTAGAAAATTATAAACAAGTATTACCATTTGATTTTACATGCTTCCCATTTAAGTCAGTAAGTTGTGGAGTTCCACAAAGATCAATACTAGGACCTTTGCCGTTTTTAAATTAAATTAATGATATTTATTTGTCATCAAAAATACTTAATTATATTATTTTTGATGACAACACTAATGTTTTCTTTTCTGACTCAAATTTAAAAAATATTTTTTGTTATGTAAACACAGAACTAACATATCTCAATGAGTGGTTTATAGCAAATAAACTTTCATTGAATATTAAAAAAACAAAATATATTTTGTTTGTTAAACCATCTAAATCTGAGAACCAGAACTAAATATTAACAAAATTAAAATAAAAAAAGTTTTTTCAACAAATATTTAAATTGGAAAAGCCAAATAAAGCTAATCGAAAACAAAGTCTCAAAGACTTTATGGACAATGTATAAGACTAAACCTCTATTGAATAAAATATGTTTAAGAAATATATATTCTTTGTTTATACATAGTCATATTAGCTATTGTAATATTGCCTGGGCAAATAATCACTCATCTTTCCGAAAACCTATTTATACAAAACAAAAGCAAGCAAGTCGATTAGTTTCAGGCATGGATAGATACAAATGTGACAAGCCATTACTCAAGGAAATAAATGTCCTAAATGTATACAAATTAAACATTTACCATAATTTGTTATTTATGTTTAAACTTCAAAACAAATTAATTCCAAATTATTTTTATAAAAACTTCTCTCTTATTAATCATAAATATAAATCAAGACACTCAATAAATAAATACTAAATCCCACTAACATTACTTAAAAAATCTGACTTCTCAATTACATGTCGAGGACCACGCTTGTGGAACTTGGTTCTTGACGAAAATATGAAAAAAAAATCTATT